TTCAAAAGTACCTAGTGAGAACTTATTTTATTATTACATTTGCCTCCATTGACTAAATATTTTGTTCTCGCCTTGATACTCATGTAAAAATATCGTTAATTCAAACAATTAGTCCTTTTTCCTGAACAATCATATGCATAACTATAATTTGAAAAGAGGAATATGTTATTTATCAGATTGTCTAAGAGATTAACATAAGAAATTAGTCGATTTTTTTTCATTGTGAAAAAAAAAACATGTCTTTTTCAGAAACTTTGATTAGAACGTCAAATAATCTCAATTGTAATGTTTCTTAAAATTAAAAGAAAACCATAGAAAAGAATTCTAAATGCTCTGTATATTTTCATTAGTAAGAAATTTTAAAGGGCAGATATTGTGCTTCATCTATTCAATGTTGATTAATTGGATTTCATTTATTTTGATAAAAGTAATCAGGTATTACTTAGTTACCTTTAGAAAGTAAGGAGACCGTTTGCACTCACACTGTTCATTATGATTCGGGAAGAAACATTTGACATCATCGATTATGAAAGGAAAGAATGCAAAATAGTGAAAATATTATTTACGAGCTATCTAAATAATAATTTATCAGATATCGATCAGTGACGGAATCGATTGATTGTTTTTGTTCAGAATCGAACCGAAAAAGTTTTAAATAGAGCTGAACCGACTTAAAAATTGAGGAGGACAATAATGTTCGAAGACTATACTTTTATTTCTAAGAGTATTCTATGAAAATTCTTTATTGTAGAAATGGTTAAAATTTTATTGGTAGTTCTATAAACAAACTAGAAGAATGCAGTAGAAATGATCTTAAAGATAGGAACATTTTCCTTTTCAGAGTAAGAGAAATTATCAATAATAGAAACTTAGTTTATGTTCATTGGTAAGCCAAGTTTTTCTGTTCATCGAGAGCTGTTCAATGCAGATATATCTATGAATGCTTCATATTGAAATGTAACCTGTAAAAAGGCATACTGACTGAAACTAATTAGTAACTGAGTAAAAATTATATGTGGATAAATATTGGTTTCGACTATTTCGAACTGAGCGCATTGTCTCACTTATATATATATACGAGAATAACAATTAACTAAATCATAATATGATGGATCAATTTTTATACATTAGATAAGGGTCGTTCTGAGTATGTAGCTATACGCTGGATCAACTAGTCATACTCTAATAAAACTCGGTCATTGGGAAATTGTTGGAAGTGATAATTTTTTATCACTCCTCTAAATACTTTTCTAGAGATCAGTGTTCATGCATTTTATTATGTGTGCACTTTTTATGGATTGGCTTTAATTCTTCTGATGGGTATGGATAAATATTTTTTAAGTGTCAAATAGAATGTTTTGAAAAAAGAAAGTCGATTTTAAATACTATTTATATTCTATTGTTTTTGGAATCATTTCTGTTATCTCATATGAAACATGAATAAGAGAGAACGTATTGATCTAGGTTAAAAACAAACAAATTTATGAGATTGGATCAATCATCATATAACCAGTACGAAAGAACGTATAAACAATTTGAATAAGCAATAAAAATTTATTACACTTCGAAAAAATTTTCTGCAAGAAAAACAATTCCTCGTTTAGTAGAGTTCATGCACTGCCCATAATAGTCATTGTTAATTATACAGCAAAATACATGCACATTTGTAGAAGAAGATTTTCTTCGTCAATTGAGACCTTAATAGTAAAACTACTACACAGTGTTAATATTTAAGTAGAGAGTACCAAAATTCAATATATTCTTCTATGGACATAGGGAACTTAGTTCTGCTAATTGACGTATGAACATAGCGCAATTGAGAGGTTGATAATAGAGATATGAAGAAAGTTTTCCACTATATCTTTGTAAACGTCGTGTTCCACAGTCAAAGTCTTATAGTCATCTTCACCTGTATGAATTCAGAGTCTGTAATATCTGATGTAGTAAGTGAGTCCAAGACAAATTTGAGAGTGATAAATGCAAAACGTTTAGATGAAATCTATGCTAAAAGCTGAGTCTAGTCCATCAAGTTTTCACTTAAACAGAGCTAAGTACGTATCCGAGATCATTCTTTAGACAAGAGAAGATATATTATGAAAGGTTCTAGTGTAGTAAATCACGGGTGCGCCAGGTTAAATGAACATCTCAGTATTCTCGAAATAACTTTTTCAATTTTCACTGAATTCAGCGAAGTTTTCTTTGAAATGCCACATGTCAAGATCTACAGAAAACTGTTTGTTTTTATTAACGTAAATAATTTCAATCATTTTAGAAAACGTGATACAATCCATTAGTCCAACCAGGACAGCTTTCAAAGCTGACTGATTCGCGGACTTTTTCAAAAGACGATTTTAATAGTTGAATCAGTGTTGTTTTTGCCTTGGCTTTGTCCCAATCGATCGTGTTGACAAGTTTATCAAAAATTGAATAGTCCAAAGGATTCTAATTCGGACTATTTGGAGGCCAACGATTCTTGTTACCAAATGATGAAAAATTGTCTCGACACCACTGTCGCGTGAAATGATAATGGTGTGGCTTTCGGCCATCCGGCTGAAAGATTCAGTCGCTATTGGAAACTTCATTCCCACACTTTGACGCTACGGCAAAGGAATGGATGTATCCTCTTCGTATCCACGTCTGCATGCATCCACACCCACACCCACACCCGGACATTCAGCTATCTGTAGGAGAAAAAACAGGAAAAAAAAGTTCTAAAATTTGACCAAGTTATGATAAGTACAAATGAGAGGAGAGATTTTTCATGCAATTACCTCACTCAGCTCTATATGAAGTGAAAATGATGTATTGAGATATTCTAAAGAAAGAAAGGAATATGCTACAGAAAGAAAGAAATATGGCAGAGAGTGGACGGATTATACCACAGAACGAAAGGATTATGCCACAGAAAGAAAGAAATAAACAGTATGTAACATATGAGAAATAGTGGAAAAAACCAATAAACTGTATGATATAGTAGGGAAAAATACAATATATTGCGAATTAAACGCATTGAAGGAGTTTATCTACACATATCAACGTACGGTGCCAATTATTGTACATATACATGACACATTCCTGAATTTACAATTTTTTTCCCTGTGTTGTTGTTTTTATGTTGAGTAACGGGCTTGTTGTTGTGTTGATATTGACAGTTGAGAGTGGAATCCATTCAAAGTGAGTCATTGTTGGCATACTACTGTCTCTTTCTTTCTATCAATTATAAGAACTCGCGTCATGATGATTCAGCGATACCGAATGTTTCCACTTCGTAGATGTCAAAGATAGGATATAAGCCTGCATATAATCGACATCCATTAGTGGAAATTGATTCATAGAGACTAAGTCTTCTATATTAAGATACTGAGTTTTCAATAACTGTCTCTTCACTTAATCCTTAATAACAAGTAAGTACCTTAAATTTTTGTTTAGATCTTTTTCAACTCTTCGTTAGCATAGAGTCATTGTCCCTAATAACGACACGAGAATTTTCACTTCTCTT